CAAGGCCAGCCTCAGAAATTTAGCCCTAAGCAATTGAACAAGATCCTGTCTCTAAAAAATAAAAAGGGCTGGGGATGTGGCTCAGTGGTTAAGCACCCCTAGGTTCAATCCCAGGTGCCAAAAAAAGAGAAAGTTTTTAAGATTTCCAGGCCTGAGATTAGAAGAAAATGGAGAGTCAATTCAGAAAGATCTAGAAACTAGATTACCTGCATGTAGGAGACAATCTGTGTTTGGAAATGGAGAATGATGCTGCCTAGTTTCCTGCCTGGGAACCCCAGGCAATGTTTTTAGTCAGTTCATCTCTCCTTCTTAGAGGCGGAGGCAGGGTAATTAGACCCTGTCTCAAAATGAAAAATCAAAAGGGCTGGGGGTATAGCTCAGCTGTAGTGTCCCCTGTTCAGCCCCCAGTGCCCCCTAAACATCACAGAATCCACCTCTCTGCCTTGGTTTTGTCACTTAATGTGAGGGTGTCTAGGGTCATGCATTGGCATTGCCTCAGCGAGGGACCCACCTCAGGCCCTTCTGAGTACTTTTCACAAATTGTTTTTTTCCTACTTTGCTGACTTCTTTTTCTGCATGTTTATTATATAATTTTAACACACATTTATCACATGCAAGTCATCAAATTTAGTTTTACTGCCACCTCTTTTGTTATTAAAATTAAATAATGCGTACAAARCACATAGAACTGTGCCTGCCGGAGTGACCCTCGGTAAATGCTGGGGTTCTCCACCCCCCACCACCACATTCATGAGTGTTTGTACATTTCCAGGCATCTCAGGGATTATTAAGCAAACCGAGCCCTCTCCCGGGGCCAGTTTCTAYTTAATGAGCCTGTGCTCATTAAACATTCACAGTGAGTGAATGGAGTGAATACGCATTATTTTCCACCCCTTCTTTTAAATTGTTTTTGATTTTTAAATCTGGAAATATTAAAATGTGTAGAAACTGCAGAAAAGACTATAGCAGGGTCCTATGTATCTACCCTCCAGATTTAACATATTTTAYCCTAATATTTTACCCATTTGCTTCAGCTCCCACAATGCCAACTTTAAAATAGCAAATAAGGGGCCGGGGTTGTGGTTCCGTGGTACAGCATTTGCCCCTCACATGTGAGGCCCTGGGTTCAATCCTTAGCACCACATAAAAATAAATAAATAAAGAGATTGTGTCCATCACTAAAAAATAATATAAAAAATAGCAGATAAGTTTTTGAATCACAAAATAACAGGAAATATCTTTAACCTAATTTTAACATATGTATTATATTTACATATAGTTTACACACAGTTATTCAAATACACACCTATGCAAACATACACAAATTATAAAAATATTAACTGAACCATTGTATATAATAATGATCAAGTAGAAACAATCTAAATCATCCTCGAGGGATGGTGGACTGAATTATAAAGCACCTACTAATGTTGTGCATCTGTTAAGAACAATAAAGTTTATAGTCAAAGGCCAGGCGTGGTGTCGCACTCCTGTAATCCCAGCGACTCAGGAGACAGGAGGATTGAGAGTTCAAAGCATCTTAGCAAGGTCTTAAGTAAATTGGTGAGACCCTGTCTCAAGATAAAATAAAAATAAAAAGGGCTGGGGATGTGGCTCAGTGGTTAAGCACCACTGGGTTCAATTCCCAGTACCAAAAAAAAAAAAAAAAAAAAAAGTCTATAGTAGAATGTCATGACACGGAAAGGTGTGCAAGACCTAAGTGGAAAGAAGTGCAAGCTGTAGTGCTGGTTTGTTTGCAATCCTGTTTTTGCTTTTAAAAATGTGTGTTCCTGTTTAGGAAACACGTATGAAAGGAAGTTCATCGTTTACTGATCTAGGAACTCTGAACACTRCAGAGGATGAGAATCAGGCAAGGGCACGTTGACTTTCAGCTTCATACATTTCTCTACAGTATGAATTGTGTCTGCAGCTGACACGCTTTACTCTGATAATAAAAACAGTAAAACATGTAAAGAATATGGGTTTCATCCTAAAAGCAGTATAGCTTGTTAAAGACAAATCAGGAAATTCAAGAAAGTCCAAAAAAAGAGAAAGAGAGGAAAAAAACCTTCTCTAGTGTCCTTTCCTAAAAACAACGACTTGGCATTTGGTGTATTTTCTTCCRGGTTCATTTGTAGAACTTTTTAAAAGTTTTGCTGTCATTTAAATTCTATAGATGAGTGATCCCATGGTATAAACATAGATTTTTCTTCACTAAACGTTAACATCAGTATTTTCCTTGTGTACATTTTTTTTGAATCACAAAACACCCCACTGAGTGGGCGTACTGGTGTACTAATCCTCCAGGCCGTGGGCACTTGG